TGGCTGGTGAGAATGTAGCCAGGCCCAGTGTGAGGTCGCACGCGTCTTTGGGTTAGCCGGCGTGTTGACAGACCCCGTACGTGGCCGGGTGCGTCCCGACGTATGAGTGGAGCTATGTGATTGTGTTTGGTGTGTTGTGATGGATAAACCCGAGAATGTATGAATTTATATGGATGTAATGGTTTAATTGATATTAGGAGTCAGGATTGATAGGAAAGAGCTACGTGTGGCTTGATCCCTTAGTAGGGTACGTAGGCAGCCTGGGATAGCGCCTAGGTGCAGCCACGACTTAGACACCACTTAGGTGGTTTTATGGAGTATGATGCGGACCTCGTGGTTGGTCCCGAAACTGGGTTGAATTGAGGCTTGTCCGATGGACTGAGTAAGTGAAGGTGGGTATGGATGGATTTCGAATTGGATTTGTGCATGTGTGATGCTTGGAGTTATTTTAAAAGCAGTGTGAGTAGTTCTGCTAGAATCATTTGAAGGCCGGAGGCCATTTATGTCAATTGCATGAGATTATATTGTGCGTGCTGCTGGTTGGGTTATAAAATGTGTTTTATGCAGGTGGAAATTTTGGGGAATGTTCAATTTACAAGGGAGACTCTGCCGAAATTTTGGCAGAAAGTCTAGTGCCTTAAATCCTCTCTGGTAAAAGAGGACATAGTTTTAAGGAGTGAACCCGGCGTGGGTGTGATGCCGGGGTCTCCGCAGGGTTCGTCTCGGGTTCCGGGAAATTCGGGGCGGGTCCTGTCATGGGTCTTATAGCTTCTTTGTTTTCACTTTATTTCCTTTCATTTGATTAAATGCAGTTCCTTTCTTTTGAGTAATCATTTTATTTCCTTTCATTTGATTTGTAGCGTGTCATTTGGATTCCATGGAAGGAGAAGGAATGTTGTGGGAGATGGATGGTACATCTCTTTGAGCTTATTTCTCTAATGTTTTCACGGGTTCAAGTTTGTGTGGCAGCATATTGCAAGAATGAAAGACAACTATAATTTGGATTGGATTTCTTTAGTTTCTTTTTCTGGTGCCCAAATTGAAATAGCTATTTGTTTAGTTTGGGCTTGCTATATAACGACATGTGCTTCTTGTTATTTGTTTGTACTTTGTACCGACTAAAATTTATGTTTAATGAAAATTTCATTCATTTAAAAAAGTTATTGGTAATTCTTCAATAATTTTATAATTTTTTGGCATTGTACTTTCAGTGTTGTGCTACCTCTTCTCATTGGTGAAAGTGGCCTACTGTTCAATTTATATGCCTTACAACAATTCTCTACGAGAAATTCCGTAAGAATGAGAGAATAATCATTGCTTTGTAATCTCAATGTTTCTTCCAACTAAAAAAAGAGAAAGTGGTAGAAGAAAAACATGATCATATACTCCATTAACAAATGATGACCATGAAGTACATCAAGTTTGAATATAAAAAAAGTAACGACAGTAACAAACAATGACCATGAAGTACATCAAATTTGAATCAAAATAAGTAACAATTTCCAAGTGTAAACGATTCTTGCATCTGCACCCAAAATTATACATTAAGTTTAGTTAAATAATTAGATGAGTGAAAAGTAACTGAAAATAATTATAATTATTTTAGTCTTAGACAATACCTTAAGGAGACATTACTTCTATGGATTATGTTGCTACTCATAAGAATTTGAATGTAAATCCTGCATTATATATAGCTTCATGTCAATCAAATATTTCAAAATAGGCATTAGCTATATATAAACCATCCTGATTCAATGAATACCTTATTCAAATGTGTCATGAAATTAGTATTTTGTAGCATGCTTGTAAAGGACAAATTAGGTTGATATAATGTCCTTGTAGAATTGGAATCCTAAAATAGAGAAAAAAAAAGTGTTACACCATTAAATTTTCTAGGTTCATAAATGAAAACACAAACTTGATTTTTAAACTAACAAATTGCATTATTTTGTTAGATTGAGGCAAATTTGCATGACCTTCGGTAGGTGACAATCTCATAGTTGGGTAGACCTATATAATAGTAGTAAGATTATACAATTAGTTGAATTTATAGTAGAAAAAAGAGAGAACTAAATGGATTAAGAAAATTTGAACTTAGTGGTGTACCAATGGGTAGACATGATTACTAATATTTGTACTCATTGGTACACTGAACGAATTAAGAAAATTTGAAGCTGAGCTATATGGATGACCTATCTTGCTTGATTGCTTGGTTTTCCCTACAAAAACAATTTGTAATAATAAGCATTACTGATGAGAAGAAATTAATAATAAGAGATCGTAAACAATAAAACAAGACATGGAACTTTCATACTTGATGAAACAATATCTTTTGATGTCCTTTTTCTTCGTTTCTCTACAACGCTTTTTAATCTGGCATTGCTTATACCTTTGGCCTTACACACGGCGGATTCAATACTGGTGTCTCATCAAATGTGCAACCACTTGCATTACAATCAATAACGTTATCAGAAGTTTTTTTGATTAACTTCTTCCTTTGACTTTATCATTTCTTTTTCAATCAATTCTTCCATCTCTCTCAATTTTTTCATAGCAATTCTAGTAGTAGCTTCTGTCTCTGCGCCTTACTCAATACATCATAAGTTGTACGCATCAAAGCATTTCGTCGCAATGTGACCGATGATTTACCATTTACCTGTAATAATTCACCGTGCTCATTTGCCTGCAATTATTTTTTGGCATCTTTTGTCCATCACTTCAATATATATTGTTCTGGTATATGACTCCAATATTTGACATTTAGTACCCTAAGAGCATGACGACACAATAAACCCGTACACTTAAACATTTTGCAACTACATGAAATAGTGCAATTGAATGAATTTAGTTCGACAAGGTAAACTTTGTTGTGACCCTCTTCATTAAGTTCAAATGAGTGAATTGTGCCATCACTTCCAACCTCATGCATCATCACTGCCAAACTATCTACAAACTCCCTTTCAAATAATTTAAATATCTTCCTTGTGTAGACAGTAGCAGCATGATTCAAAATTCCACTGCTTTTGTCAATTCTAGAAGGAAGTCCTTGATTGCGACGAAAAGACTCTTCTAATTCACTTGAATGCATTTTTTCCGCTTGTTTATCATAGTGATGCACAAATTGAGTAAGACTCATTGTCTTAGTAGACATTTGATGAAAAACATTGTTTGTGCTCTCACTTCTTTGTGAAGATTTTATCCTAGTAGTAAAAATATGCCGACTAAATACTGGACACCATTTTGCACGAAGATTACAGTGTCATCAACCATGGGTTGCCTGTAAGGTTGAATTTTGCCAATAAGTCATCCCAAATAGACTGAAATTCCAATTTTGTCTCACAATATCCTTGAAGACACTTATTGAACATATGGTTAAACTCTTGATTACCATAATGACTTCCCAAATTTCTTGTAGCATTCTGAGATATGTGCCACTTGCATAAACAATGACATACCCCAGGAAAAACGTTTTGAATGCCATTTGCCATTGCCTGACTTTGATCAGTAAAAATAGTCTTTCGACCTCCCATTGATTTTAAAAATGTCTCAAATAACCAAATAAATGAATCATTTTTCTCATCCAATAAGAAAGCACAACTGAATAGTATGTTTTTCCAATGGTGGTTGACGCCGACAAAAGAAGCACATATCATGTTATACCTATTAGTTCAATAAGTAGTATCAAATACTACCACATCTCCAAAACAGTCATAGTCAATTCGTGACCTTCCATCTCTCCAAAAAAAAGTTTTTCATTCGGTTTTCGTGATCAACTTGAACTGTGTAAAAGAACATAGGATCTTCAGCTTGTTTGCGCTTGAAAAGGTTCATCAAGCTTTGAGCATCTCCTACTTCAATCGTGGCCATTTTCTCCTTGTTCACAACATTGTAGCAATCTCTTTTTGTAAAACCAACATTTTGAGACCCGCAAACTTCTTATGCTAAATAAGAATATTTATTTTTGGTCCTTATTCCTACACCCACCATTGTTTTAATGACACCCAAATTTGAATCTGAAACTTTTCTACATGATCTCAAAAATTGCCTTTCTTCTGGCTTAGCAAGTTCATGGTTATGCTCATGAACAAAATGAGAAACTTTCCACGTATCATCTTCATCCTGGAATGCAAATCGAATGCTAGCTTTGCAACCTGTTCTTGTCTCTAATTTGCTAACCTTGCTCAATTCTGAAGGGTCACTATCTAGTTGAAAATCTTCTTTTGAACAAAGATAACTAAATTGACGCATAACTTTTTTTGTATTGTATCTCTTTTGTCCCCTTCGAACACTAAATCCAACTCTTGTAGCATAATTTTTGTAGAGATTATAAGCTTCCTCTTCAGTTGACACAACCCTTCCAAGCAAATCTTCATCAATATTTTCTACACGGTTAACAATCATGGGATCTTTTTCTCTTACATTTTCTTCGTCACTTTCAACATCAATGAAAACTGGCACATGCCACAACATCATCTTATCAAACATCAAAATAATAATAAATATATATAAAAGAGAAACAACTTGTATAACTTGCAACAATTGACAAAAAAAAACTGCAACAATAGTTTGAAAAAAAAATTGTAGCAATCAACAACAAAAAAATCTGTAGCAATCGACAAATAAAAACTACAGTAATCGAAAACAACAAGTACTATTGCATAACATATATAGATCGAGGATATTTGTTTACCTCTATCACTATCCATAGCTTTATAGCTGCGAGTAATTCTGTGGTGCATCGACTGTACTGGTACAGCCGATCACATGGGAGGCATGTGCTTTTTTTAAAAAAAATTTGAAAACCTGCTGTAAGGTAAACAGGTGAAACGATTTCACGCGATCATTGCAGCAACTGTGTGCAAATCCAAGTCCCTGTATTTTTTTAATTAAGCAATGTGATGTTGTGGTATTTAGGGTGTATTAGGATTTGGATTAGTATTCAAATTCTCAGCACTAGAGACAATTGCATGATAGTGTTGTGTACTTGATTTGTTCAGGTTATGGAAGCTCAAAAAAGGGGAGAAGCGAAAGGAAAGCGCAAGGCCGAGAGTAATGTGCAACAATCAAGAGTTGGGCGAGATGCATTTTTTAATTTCATGTAAGTTACACGTACATCTAAAAATTGGAGATGTGGTTGCTTAATATTATGATGGTTTTTTGATTAAAAATAAATGATTTACAGGAAAAAAGAACGACATGAAATGGGGAAAGTGGCCAATGCAAAGTTGGACAGTAAGGTGAGAGATGGCAACGGATTGGGTCAGTTTATTAATTATTTTATTAAAAAGGCTCTTTTAATGAGAATTTATTTTTTCAGGTACAAGAAGAGATGGTTAATAAGTGGAGGAAATTGAACCCTAAAGAAAAGGCAACATATGGTTCTGCTTTCGAAGGTTCAAGTGGGCAAGTAAATAACTCAGCGAATGAGATGGGTTTTATCACTAGATGCAACCCGGACCGATTCCATCGTACGGTGGAAAAATTGTCGAATGAGAAGCGGTTAGTAATTAATGCTATTGGGTTCGGTAACATGTCATCTTTGTCTTGCACTCGTTTACACCGCCAACTATGCCAATTTTTTATTCAAATGTTCAATCCTGGTACGTCATCTATAGAACTGCACAAGAATGTGTTTGGAATAAGTGTAGTTGACTTTGGGCATGTTATGGGTCTTAAGAACACCGGTGAGGATGTTGAACTCGACTATCCGGTAGAAGATGAAAAGGTGAAATAGTTAGTGAAGAGTTTCAGTGGAAATGGTAAAATAGTATTAGTAAGGAGTTTAGCTGAACAGTTGGAAAAGTGCGAAAATGCCGATGAGGACTTTAAAGTTCGATTTGTGATGTTTGCACTTGGCACTATACTTTGCCCCACATATTCACCATCAGTGACCGGGAACTATCTAACTTTCTTGACGATCCCAGGGAAGATAGAGAGCAAGAACTGGGCCGACCATGGATTGAACTTCTTACGTGAAAGTGTGAGGTCATTCAAAGCGAGGAAAGTTGCATATGTAAATGGGTCACTGCTTTGCGAAGAAAGTTGCATATGTAAATGGGTCACTGCTTTTTCTCCAACTATTCTATTTCGATTCAATTGTCCATGGTGGAGTATATGTTGATAAATCTTTGGATCCTATTGTGTCCTGGGACAATAACTCGGTGTGGAAATTGATTAAATAGGTCAGAAAGCAAGATGGGTTTGATAGTCCTACCGTTCAGGTTGTTTCAAAGCACTGTCCAACGAATCAAGTGTCCGGAGTAAACCTTGAAAGAATTGTTCAGGAAGTTGCTATCAGTTTGGCGCCAGTAATACAGGCCGAGGTGAAGCGCTCAGTTGAAGGACTTGCTATCACTTTGGGGCCAATAATACAAGTCGAGCTCCAGCGCTTAGTGTTGGAACTCACTGACAAGGTAATGAGTCAAGTGAGCTCCTTCATAAAAGACGCAAGACAACATCTTCATCCAGGACATGGAGATGTAAATCAAACTATGGAGGACGGGGCACTGAAAATACCAGATGAAGGTGGTGAGAATGTTGTGACGAAGAAGGGTGAAGAATGTAGCAAATTAAAGGAGAAAGGTGCAGTTGATGTGAACAATCCTTGGACGCCATTACCGGATAGACAGAGTTTCATTGAACTCGAGGTATAATGAGAAATTAGGAGTTTCAAGATCGAGTTTCTAGTTATCTTTTACATTTATTAAGTATGCATTTATTTACATGTAATATTTGAATTCCCTCTTTCGCAGTTAAAAATTGGCATGAAAAAGGGGAAGTTCACAAAATCGCCCCGTGATGATCAAAGTGGAATTAAAACACATCGTACGGCCGAAAGGTGTCCAGAGCTTCATTGTAAAAAGCCATGGGTTGACCCGTCAAATGCAAAAGGAAAGGCTGTGCAAAAGACGACATCTAAGATTAAAATCGGGCCTTTCAAATTAAAACCTGGGGACTTTGAAGACTCCGATTTGGAGTTATTTAGCTATATTTTTAGGTCTAGCGACCTTTCAAGGTAACTACTTACAAATGTTGAATTATAAAATCGACCAAATTCCTTATATGTTTTCGCGTACGTGAATTTAATTATAACAATTGATTTCTTCTTCCGTTGTGGTGAGGAAGTTATAATTCAAATTGAAAACGAACATCGTGTCACCAGAAGTGATTTCATGTGCTTGAGGCCCGAAAAGTGGATTAACGATGGAGTAATGAACGTGCAAGTGTATTATCTACAAGAAAAGGGCTCAAAGAATTGGTACTTCCCCATATATATATCGGTACACATTCATATTTTTCAAAGTGTTATAGGTTGTGATTTAGTAAATGAATTTAAGCTTACACTATATGTGAATGTAGGATAAAGTTAATGATACAAGTGATGGTAAACTTTTTGAATTGGGTGTCAAACTTAGAAGGGAAAACTCAAACCGGTTCACCGTAGGCCTTAAGACGTGCGAGAGGGTATCAATTTAAGTTCTTTTTTAGAACATCTTTAGCTACCTTTTGTATACGCATGTTTTTCTAAGCAAGTCATTGTGCTCCTAGATTTTCATCCCCATTTTGGATCAAATCAGGAGTCATTGGTATTTGCTAGTGGTGTTTATTGGTGATAAAAATGTTGAAATATGGGATAGCCTCCCCGGTCCTAAATACAACACAGCTCGTTATCAACTAGCGGAATAAATTGTAAGTTTAATTTACCTAATTTTGGTTTGTATTTTTATTCTCCTAACATCCTGACTAAGAATTGATTTGAATTGATTGTGGTGTAGATGAAAGTTTTGGACTACATTTACAATGATGAAATTGTCGAATATTTTGAAAATGGATGGCAGTTTGCAAAATTCAACATTGTGCGAACTGACAAGGCCCGCAGACAACTGAATGGATGGGATTATGGTATCTTCGTTATGAATTGGCTAGAAGACATTCAATGCACATCACACGGTTCAAATAAAGTGAGTTGGCATATATATTGTTTCATAGTTTTGTCTTCCACGTCAGATATTTTTGTTAATCATTTCTTCAACGGGTTGTTTTTTATTTGCAATTTCAACATGCAAGTGAGCAAGTTCGTGTTGCACTATCGTTGGTGAAGAACCCAAAAAACATGTGTCTAAAGGAAGTAACCGATTCCGCTCGAAGAGTAGTCGACAAAGAACTTAACACGTTGCCGAACATGGTCCCTTAATCCCTCATCATCCCATCGCAAGGAAGTCAATGACACACTCCCAGGCAAAGTAGAAAGTTTTGACAGTAGGTCATAAGGGATTACAGTTTAGAGATTAGGTGTAATTTCATGTACATATCCCTATTTGCACATAGTCGGGGTTCTTTTGAAATATAGCAAGTGCAATTGCATGACACGACTGTTGCACTTCATGACATAGAAACATTTCACCCCTAGAAAGGCCCAAACACTGAAATGTAATTACATTTAGTGTAACTGCATGCACATAGAGTTGAAGGTTAAGGTAGTCCAATTGCATGTACTTATCCCTTTTTGCGTACCGTAAAGCCCAATCCAATTCAAACTAAAAACCCAAACCCACTTGATTTATACCCCTAAAGCTCAATCCCAATTCATCTTTTAAATCTATAGCCCAAGCCCAAACCCAATTGATTTTTCAACCCAAGCCCAAACACAATACTGTGGGGCGCCGTTTGTTTGAAGTATTACGCCTCCTTAAAGCCCACGAACCAATTTCAGAAATAGAAAATGTTCTAAACATGAAATTGGAACAGCTTTAGTTTCTCACTCTCGCTCGCTGTCGTTGTCTCTGACTGAATTCAACTTGGCGTTTTGCTCTCCCCCGTCCTCTCGGTCGCCCAATTCAATTGGCTTTTCCATCTTCAGTCGCACTTCTCTCTCTCTCTCTCTCTCTGGCTGTCTCTGTCGACTGCCATTGTCACCCCAAAATCCTTGTCCGTTGGCTCTCAAAGTCCATGTCAAAGGTAAGAACTTCGATCCTATTCATTCAGTTATGTTTCTAAATGAGCACATGAGGATTTACATGACGAAAAATCGTAAGGGTGTTTGGGTTTGTAACGAATTGATTTATATGAGGGTTTAGGGTTCCTAAGTTCGGGGTTCCTCATTGATATTGAAATTATTTTGTCTGGGTAGATGGAATTGAATGATGCTAAACCTTGGATTCTAGGGTCTTGCCGTTGACCCTGGACACACATTTGTCCCGGGCAAATTTGTTCCTCAGTTTGGACAAAACCCTAGCCTTATTCCTTCCATAACGTAGGCCATTTATATAATCTCCAATGAAAATATTTTACGGTTTGGATGGGTAATTAGATACTAGCTATCGAAGAAACAAAGCATGCATGGGTAGGTGTAGCTTTCTCTCTAGAAAGGAAAAGATAAATCTTGAATAATGGCTTGATATATCATGTTACATACTTATCTAATATTGCTAATTCATGCATAATGCCAATATACATTCATTAACAAAGTATGCTCTTCTTGCCGAAGCAAAATATTGTACCAATCGTTTCAATGATAAACTATTTTCTAGTATGAACATGTTTATCAAAGTTATTGTTACTGTATTAAGGTTGAAGGATATTCCAAGCGACAATGAGGACGTAGAACATGTCCATTGAGGTTGGAGCATCTCATGAAGGTTCCCGGCTGTAGAAGACCACACTTGCAAAGCCTATGAAAAGTAAGGCTTCAGTGGCTACCTCAAGCTCGAAAAACCGAAGCCAACAAAATGAATTTCGGGTCCTATGGGTACTGGGGTGTTCAGTGTATGTGTGTTCATACCGAGGGACCGAAATCCTTGTTTACCCTTGCTTCACGTGGATTTGGAGGAACATATCTCCTTCAAGGTATTCTTATTTTATTTGACAATTTGCATTTCTCACTTTGAAATAATTTGTAATTAAGTGGGTCACAATCAAATTGAGATTACTAAACCCTTTGTGTTTATGCAGCTTACTTTAAAACAAATAAGAGGGTGTGGAAACAATGACAAGTGTGCTACATGGTATAACAAAGCAATGCACGACACTATGAAAGCAAAGGTTAAACAAGTTGGCTTTTTGTTCTTTTTGTCAATCTTGGGCCATGGAAAGAAAGGGGATAGGCCTTTACTTGTGGCCTTAGCTGAGAGATGGTGGGACACTACCCACACATTCCACTTTGATGAAGTTGGAGAGATGCCGATGACCCTTACGGACTTCACAACAATCATAGGATTGCGTGTTGGTGGGAAGCGATTAAAGTACGACTTGGAGATTTACAAAAATAAGAACAAGCTGGTTAAATTGTTTGGGAAACCAATTGCAGAGCTACTAGCGGGCGAAAGGAGAGTGTCGTATGAAAGCCTTTCCACCCTGTACTGGAAGAAGAATAAGAAAGATGATAAAGAAGCAGACCAAATTGCAAGGGCATTTATACTATACTTGATTGGCTCCTCATTCCTAAATGATAAGAACCAATATGTGAGTATGCACTATGCCCCCAGTCTGGAAATAGTCTCAGACATTGGTAATTACGACTGGGGCGGTGCGGCTTTGGCTTGCTTGTGTAGATCAATGGATTATTGTTCCAGGGGCAGGTCCTCAAGCATGGGTGGGTATTGGAGGGTATAAGAGGCTAGTGTAATCGAATTGAATGTCCCCAAAGTGTAACAGACTTTTTGCTTAAATTGCTAATTTGTATACTTGTTTTGTGTAGGTATGGGCTTGTGAGTACCTAAAGCCGTTTGCTTTATCAAGGCCCAGTGAAACCATGAACACGTGGACTCGAACATTTAGGTGGTTAGGTGCAAAAGCAAAGCGAGACTTAAGGGACCAGTTGGTTCAAAAATATTGTGCTGGCAACTCGTAAACGAATCCTACTTGAGGGACCAGCTGGTTTAGCCTGGTTTTTGGAAGAGCAAGTCGCAATGTAAAGTTTAGGTACCACAGAACCTCAAGTACCCAAAATTTCACCGAGGACAATGATTTCTGATTATAAGCTCACTGATAACTCAGTAGTTGAGGAAGCACTTAATGGGTACCCAGCTTCGGAATGGCTTGCAAATTCATCCAACTTTGCCCAGTATAGAGATGAGTACATAAGTTACTGCCACTATGAGGACTTACGTGAAACAGTTCGTTCTACATTGAACACGTGTTATGTACTTACACTTCCTGCATTAAATTGATATAATTTTTCAAAAATCTAACATGATACCTCAATTCCACAGGAAGGACAATACAGAACTCCCGAAGAGGCTAATATAAGGGTAGGAAACATCTCTCCTCAGTCATGGTCAGTGCGAATACCATGTTGGGCGGCCGAAAATGGAAGTAAACTTGTGCGGATACCCCGTGGACAAGATGTCCCTGATCTACCATTACCTGATGGTGTAACGCATGTAACGCTTGTGGTGATTAATGTAATTGCATGTGCCTGAATGTAGGTAATTGTTGAAGCTGCAACTGAGATTTTGGAGCTGAATGCTGGGTTGAATGCGTTACTATTTTCAACTTCATTGGAAGCAAGCATAGAGATCAGGCACCTACGGCAAGAGATTATGAGTCAGTTCGGCTTCATTTCATAGTGATTTCATAAAATTAACAAACATCACCAATGTTATATTGAAATAACAGACCAAGAATGAACATGAACGATGTTGTATTGTAATAGAAGATATTGAAGAACATCACGGGGACAACCATTGCAAGTTCGGGTATTGGTCAAGACGTCTTAGCTGATGATGCAGAACATGTAAGTTTGTTACCTCTATTACCCCATTCGATTTATAAGATGTTCAATTTTGCAATTTTAAATAATATGTTACATTCTGCAATGCAAACCATCATCACTCATGTGCACAACAAAATGGAACAAAATTGATTATTTATATATGTCAATGTTTCCCTGTATGTAGGAGTTTCGCACAAAATTTAAACATGACATAGTTTGAAAAGGAAAGACCAAAATTGTGGTACCAGAAAAGCATGAAGAAGATGAGGAAGAGGAAGAAGAATAGTAAGAGGAAGATGAAGAAGAAGAGGAAGAAGAAGAGGAGAATGAAGACAAAGCTTGGATAGAAGAGAAAGAGGTTGATGATGAGGACGTGGCCACAACTAAGGGTAATCCGGGTGCAGAACAACACCAGGGCCATAACTAAGGGTAATCTGGATGTAGAACAACACTCCACAGACCAAAAACGCAAAGGTGATAAAAGTGTTTATTCACGTACCCCGAAGAGAAAGAAAACCAAGTAAATTATGGATACGATCAAATTTTTCGGATCATTGGTCTGTTTTGAAATATAATATGTTTAGTTTATTGCCCTTTACCGTTTCTCATGCTCTATATATTGGATAATAGCACCCTTCAATTGATAGTAAAAAATTAGGTCTAATTATGTTTGTACAATAAAATATGTTCACTCTCACATTGCATCACCATTATGCAATTGCATGTTTGCAATTCGGGATATTTTGGAATGTGTTTCGCACTACATGGCAATTTCTATTACTAGGTAATTTCATATAATCGGTCGTTTTGTAATATAATATGTTTGGATTATTGCCCCTTACCATTTCTCATGCTCTGTATTTCGGTTCATTTCGTCCTTCTATTTATAGTAAACAAATAGGTCTAATTATGCCTGTACAATAAATATGGGGGTTTGTGCACAGTCACTCTTGAGACCATAAACGCAAATGCCGACCAGCTGTGGGCAAAACTGTTAAGACTGTAAACGCGAAGCTAATGAATGTATATAGTAAAGACAAACAAAAGCAAGTAACAATTTCATTATGACCGTATGGATATGATTAAAAAATAGGATTAACCAATCGTGGTTTACAAAATTGGGTATATTTTGGAATGTAATTTGCACTTTCGGGCCAACAATTTTCTAATACCAAGTATTTTAAGATAATTTGTCTTTACTGATTCTAATATGTTCAAATAATTGCCCCTTACCCTTTCTGATGCAATGTATTTTGGATCACCGCCGCCTACATAAAACTTCCATCCAAGCACCCCATACAAGGCATAAAACCGTTTCTCAACAATACATACATAAAACAATAATATATCAATCATATGAAACTTGTCTATCACTAGATCTACATTTAATGTTAATTGTTACATGTAAACCAAGTTCTAAAACTACATTTGTTTCGAGTTGAACCAGTACATAGGGAAATAGGTTCACCATTGTCGAATGAGAAACCATCGTCACTGTTAGGGGTATAACTGGTTAGTTCTACAATAGAAAAACTATCAGAACCAGACAAATCAACCATATAGTTGCCTCTGCATTAAGGAACCGTTTTACTAGCATAACTGTAGCTAATGTTTGGGGACGACCCTTTCTCGAAACTATACTGATAGCTTTCACTACCTGAAAGGATATTCACACATGCATTTCTACTTGGATGCAAGTTTCTTTGAGAGAAATTTCACTTTGTATGTCCATATCCGCGACACAAATGACATTGTAGACGCTTGCATTTTCCACCCTGGCTTGCTTGAGTGCATTTTGTCCTAACAATTTTTGGATCTTTCACAATATTTGGAGGACATTGCCCAGCACTACCCAATTTCAGACTTGTCTCTTCTTCCTTTTGCCGTAAGCCTTCACAATTCCCTCCCATCTGCTAAACTCATTCGTCAACATGGCATAACCATATGCACTCTTCGATGCATAAAAACATACTTTGTTTGACATAGCACTTAAACTTCCATACCTCACCATTTCTACAACTTTGTTGGTAGTGTCTTCGCCTTGGCCGAAACATTCCCTACATGTATCACTTTGGGCACTCTCTGTCCATCTCTTCATTATGAGTGCTGGAGGAATTTCCGTAAGGTGCTCGCACTTCATTACATAAACAGGTGGCAACACGGGATCCCTTCACTTTCATATTTCCGGCATCCACACTCTATCCACATATTTTCCCCATCGTGGTAAACACAAGTCTAATTATTATGCGGTTCACCATATTTGACAATACATATACACGCCCTCCAAAATTATGCATCACATTATCATGGGTGAGTTCTGAACAAGATTCGATCTCATGACGTATCAATATAAAGCACCTATGCGTGTATATTTGAGAAGCTTGTTGCTCGAGTTTTGTCAATGCGGTTTTAAGAACTGGTGCTAAGTTCTTTGCGTTGAAACCATCCTTCGCCATGGTATTCCTAAGACGTAACATAGCCCTATCAATTTCAAGAATACATTCAAACAACTTCACATCTTTCCTCAAGTAATCCTTCACACACTTGTTCATGGGCTCCATGCGTTGAGTGGTGCACATACCATCGAAAAACTTTCCTCTAAGACATGATTCAGCCCATGAGTCTCTTTTTGCATACATCATTTCCAACCATTCTTTTTGTTTCGTAGTACTTGCTCTTTCCCTCAAAACCTCTCATTTCTTCTCAAACTCGTCCAACGCAAATGGTTCCTAAATTTATGCCTGAAAATTTCTTAGCAATTCATCATCCTTCAAGTTATCTGTGCATTCCTTGACACATGCCATGAGCACAACCGATGGTTAGACATGGGAAACACATCATCAATGGATTTATGCATCGCCTCATAGCCATCCGTCAATATTGATATTGGCTTTTTATCTTTCATGGATGCCATGAATGTTTCCAATAACCACTTGTAAGTTTCAAATGTCTCATCATGCAATAATGCACAACCAAACATTACAGTAGAACAGTTGCTGTTCGAATCGACAAACAACGCTAGGGGCTTGTCATACATATTTGTTTTGTACGTGCTGTCAAATATGAGGACATCGCCACATGCAATGTAATCCAAAAGTGAAGTGGGGTCCCTCCAAAACAAATTACCAAGCCTATTTTCCTCGTCTACACTAAACTTACGAAAGAATTCTAAATCCATTGCTCCTTTTCCTTTTAAGTACGAAAGTGCGGCTTCTGTGTTAGCGTCGAGCAAAATTTCCCTGCGTGATGTATCCAACTTATTATACATATCCTTTATTTGAAAACCAACATTTAAATACCCGCCACATTGGTCGACCATATACTCATATGTATGACATGTTCTAACCAATGCTCTTTGTGTGCTAAATCGGAATTTCGAACAACACAGTTACATCGGAGATATGGCAATTCAAGTGGAGTAACTAGTTGATGATTGTGATGTGGTTCAAAATTCGTAACAACGTAAGTATCACGTTTCTTCTCATAACCCACCCAAAATGGGCAGGGCAATTCTCTCTTGTACTTGGCTTCGGTTGTCGAATCTTATCCGGTCGATCATTAAACTTCTCATTTCTCAAACCTTCTTTAAAACAACACCACCATCTCCTACATACTTTCCCTTCCGAATTAAGAACCAATTTGTCTTTTCTCATGCTAAATCCAATGCTCTTTGCATAACTCATATAATATTCTTCCTCTAATTCTATCATTTTAAACTCTTTCCCCATAACATCTTCTGTCCTAGCTGCAATAATGTCAACACCATTATCATCACTACTTTGACTAACTAGATGTTCGACCGACATATGCCCACTCTCTGTTGCCGGTGCCCTGTGACTCGACCTTTCACAACCACCCAGATACCCTGAATCACTACAACCACCCTTTGATGTCTCTACACCCCTGTCCATCTTACCAGACCCTTACATGCCTGAGAAACATAAATTCAAACTGAAATTACATTATAATCTATGTGCTAACATACCTTCTCTTCAAAAAACACAAATGAATAGTCTTATGCAATTGCACATAGTCAGGTCAATAATTGCCCCACGTATAACTGTTTCGCAACCAAAAACATGCAATTGCATCAACTCATTACCCAAAATACAATTAACTCCTAAACCAGAAAAGAGGGTTCTTTGAACTCTTACTTGATGTTTCCATACTTTCGACGCCTTCTCCTTACACTTCCTTTCGCCACTAACTCAAATGTCGTCATTAACAGCCAGGGATCTTCGAAATCTTTACAACCACGTTGTTATTACAAATCCATTCCGCTGATGTCGTCAACGGTCAAACTCTTCGCCTACCCACCTCGTATATCGATTGAATGTAGTACCAGCTGGAATGGGCTTTAAAGATCCTAAACATATAAAGAAATGGACGATCTCATATCAAGCCGGTGACACCCTTAATGTGCGAAATTGAAATTCTGTATCAGACAATGCCAACATAACAAACTAAATTAAATACCTCCAATTTGGTGACCATTACATCATGGAGGTTGGACCCACCATCAATTTGGTATCTGCAGATGAGTTTTGGGCAAGTAGAGAGAAGAGTTAAGGAACTCGCTTAGGCAAAGTCGCTAGTGTCGGCTTAGGTTTTCTCGTGGACGACCTCAATTCGGTGAGCATTAGCTTCTTGCAGATGCGTTTTAGCCAAGCACAGACAAGAGTTGGACGCGCTTAGGATGGATTTGGGCAAGTGAGAGAGAAGAGTTCCTGGCGAAGAAGAGAGAAGAGTTCATCGGCAAGCAGAGCGAGTGGGCAAGCAGAAAGAAGAGTTACTGGAGGCACTAAGGATTGGATTTGGGCAAGCAAAGAGTTCTTGGAGGCGCTAAGGATTGGATAGGCTCTTAGGATTTTTGATTTCTCAGAGTCACATGCAACTCACGTGTTGAATAACAGAGTGCTCAACAGGTTACTAAGTCATTGAATCTCAGCCATCCATTTTTAACATGGAAACTCAGGCTTTGGATAGTCGGCTATACCGGTATAGCCGATGCACCACAGAATTTTCGTATAGGTGCAAGCTTGACCAAAAAGAAAAAGGCTACAAAAGTCTTCCTTCTTTTCAGAACAGTGGTGCAAATTTCGATAAAAGTAATTATGTCTTAGGGTTTCTTTTTTATTTCTTAAAAAAAACAAAAAACAAAAAACAAAAAAAAGAGTTGGTTACTAACGATGTTACCATTAAATCTAGATGTTAACATTCTCTCTCTTAAAAGACAGCCACGCCACATGTCGCTATGCAATTGGTACGTACTACCACCTGGCACTACCACGTGGTAGTACTATACTATTGTATAATTTCTCCACGAGCTGAGGGAAGTGGTTGATGGGGATCAGCTGACGTGGATTTTTTTAAGTCATACACCGTTATTCCTAAAACACTCTATAAGTCCTTTTACAAAGTGGTAAATTCGTCTTTAAAATTTTGAAGATATATTACTGGGAAAATAGGATAAGGGGGTAGAAATAACAGCACTCGTTGTAAAACACTGTCAACTTATCCTTATGGCTTACATCAACTTGTTCACCCGTTTTTATTTTAATCATGTGATGGTAGGGTAAAGTTCCCCATTGGCTTGACAACCATTGGTTGTCAACAAGTCAACTTTCTTTTCTGCATGAGCGTGCCACTGCTAGCAGTTCAAAACCCTAGCAGACTGCTAAAAAAATAAATAACTTGCACCCCAAGTTACTAACTTTTAAACAAGCAATTGTGAATTTGGGTGCTGAATATCTCCCAAGTAAGTTCTTTTCTTTGCCTCATACTAGTGAGGACTTCATAATTTTTCACAGAACAAAATTGGTAGTTCTAGCCAAAATAGACAAAAAGAAAGTAAACTATTCTAGGCAGAACTGCTTATTACATGACTCAAAAATGAAATGGCGACTCCGAAACAAGACAACATGATGTTGGACTTCGATTTCTGACTGGATAATTGCCTATGAATCGGGCTGGATTGGATGTGTCTGTGTTGAATTGGATTGTCAACACCTTCAACTGATGAATTTCAACTGGAAATCGAGAGCAATGTTTGAGTTTGGCAGAGCTTCAATTTATTTTAGGCCATGGAAGGCTTGCTGAACGAGCAGAATTGAGGCCTTTTTAGTCTGGAGAGGCCAAAAGTGGTTGAATTGATGATCACTGAGCTGGAGCTGCGCTATGGTGCATGTTCTGCTTGACCAAAACTTTCTGTAAATTTGCTAAAGTTTTCATATTTGTAACAACCTGGACTCTGCTTGACTTGGCTTTGTGCTAAACCAAATTTGTAACGAGAGAAATCTCGCTTTGTAAAACTGTTTCTCTAGGCTTGAACCGAAAACAGAGATTTGAGTTCTAGCTGACTTGTTTCTTGTGACTCAATGAGCTTTGGTTGCTTCAATGCTTGAAGGCTTTTTGAGATCATTGGATCTTTTGAGTTTGTCAATTGTGACTTTGAGAGTTTTTTGTCTTGATTGATTTTTGGCTGTCTCTATTTGTTCACCCTCTGTCTTATGCTGGAGTGGGGTTTTTTAATCTTTGAATAATGGGCGGCAAATCCTTCAAAAAAGATCTTTCTTTTTAAATGCCAAAAAAAGGGGGAAGCTATCTGTTCTGGCAGAGAAGAACCATCAACGATCAATTCCCATGGTGGTCTTTTCTTTGCTTTTTCTGAAAGAAAGACCAACTTTCTTTGTTTCTGTTTGTTCCTTGTAAAGAGAAAGGACACAATCTGCCATAATGGTCAGTTTGCTTTTCCTGTTTCAACAACTCTTTTGCTTCCTACTTATCTTTTGAGATCGTAGTCTGCTTATCTCTGGGAAAGATCACCTGCTTTGGTGCAGAGTTTTTCTATATATATAAAAGGGATTTTGATCTTTTGGTTGCAAAGATTTAGAGAAGTCTTCCTTTATACTTGCCTTCATTAACTCTCTATCAACTCCTCTGTGATAGTTGAAATTTTTGACTTTTCAAAGTCAGGTAGTCGCGTAGGGCTCTTCTAGGAAATCATTTTTTAGTAAGAAAAGATTTGCTGACTTGCTTTGAGATCAAGTGGCGAGAATTCTTCAGAAGCTGAGCTTTAATCCAATCTCTTAGAGGTTTTTCGGCCTGCTTGGTGATGAATTACCATTTAATTGGCAATTTTATTGATTTATTTACTTATTATTTTTTGTGTTTTTTAAACCTTTGCCACTTCTGCAAAAGACATGGGCCTCTAATGTTGATTGGGCTGCTTTTCTTCAAAGCTCAAGACTGTTCATTTATCATGGGCTTGATAAATTCTGGTCTGGGCTTGCAAAATTCGAGAAATTAATCTGGGCTTTCTCTATTTTGGGTTGCTCTTCAGTTTCTTTTAAATAGGCTGGACTCGAAGAATTTAGGCCCAAACACAACTCATGATGCATTAATGTTTGTGAAGATAGATTACGCAGTCGTGCTGAACCACGCTTACTAACAGATTTGTTTGAGAAATGAAAACCGCAGTTAGCTACGTTCCGATCCATTATGCATTAATGATTGCCAAAATAGAAAGAATAGCACTAATTTGTATTAATTTGTAACATGTTACAAATAAGGAAAAATTTAGAACATCCGAAATAGGAATATACTGTAGTGCTATTAAGAATAAGGAAAATTCAAATACTATATAGCTGTGGCGTCCTGAATTAAGACTAACGTAACGTAAAAGCTCAGAATTGTAATGCATACAAAAATAACAAATGTCTTTTGAATATTCGTATAAACTTTGATATCACTCTCCCATCTGTAACATCGACGGATCGGCACCAAACAGTGAATTTTTGCTACACGCCGGCAAGTAATCTGGCGGAGGACGAATACTTGTTTCATCGGTCCCTCCATTCTTAACTATGAAAACAGTGTCCATTCCCCAACTCATATGTCGATCAAAATGACAGTGCATGAACCACACCCCTGCCAAAATTGTTCATAGTAATTAAAGTAAGATTACATTAGTCAGATTAACATTAATTCTTATAATTAATATTAATAATATATCAGTAATGCATTATGGTGCCTGTCTGCATTAATTTCAGAGACTAGTATAACTCGTCTATGTGTTGTAGTATATACGGATATTTATTGATACTATATCATAAAAATGGAAATTTTAACTCCGTAGTCTATCTATATTATAACAGGTGAACAAGTTATACAAGATGATCGCATTTCAGTACTATATAATAATTTCTCTGTATAGGTTATGTTTAGCATTTTTGGGATGTAGAAAAAGTTCCATTATAATGTTAATCATATATACATAAGATCAAATTAATGAGCATACGTACCTGGATTGTTGGCTATGAATCTGATGGTGGCCCAACCGTCCTTAGGGACTGGGAAGGTATTAACTTCAGGGGATCAACCAAGTTGTAAGTTAATGGATCGGTCACGTTGTTGAAATTTCCTAAACCAGATCCGATGACATAAAATCTGAATCCATGCAAATGGACTGGATGATTCTCTCCTGAATCCATGATATTAGTCCCTTGGAATGTTATCTCCACTGTGGCATTATAATCCAACATCTTCACCCTCGTAGCCCGACTGGTTATGGTGTAATTGTCTGTTGTCAAGTCCTCTGCTGTGAAGTTGAACAGATTAGGTGGTTCGTCTGGAAAACTTGCTTCGTAATATCCACTTATGTTCCTGTCAAGAAAAACAAATTTTGCAGGATCAAGCAACTATTGTCTTAAATTATAGCAGAGTTCCCTCAGACTTCAAATCTCCTACTCGGATACCATGATAAAGTTAGAGCATCCAACATAAAACTAATTGGCGAATGTAATACCTGTAGTATGCTTGCAACACATCAACGGCAGGGTTGGCAAAGCTGATGTTGTTCAAGCCAGAAGCAATCCTGTTTCCTTCAGGCCCAGCACATGAGTTGTTTGGACAGTGCAGCATGCCAATAGAAATGGTTATAAACATTCGGGTGGTGACATTTAGAGGAACGTCCACCGGATGCTCTGCAGATGCCAAACTCCTGAATTGTGTGACAAATTTTCTCGCAGATCGATGTCGTAATAACCAGGAATGTAGGTTGGATAGATGGGTGATGATGGAGGAGTGTAGTTGCCGTTGTATTGGAATATGGCACTGGCCATGCTTTTGTCAAAGTCATCAGCCTCTCCATCATAGTAAGGGCTTGCAAGCATATAGTACTGGCCAAGGGATTGCTTTGCTGTGACTAAAACATCCATTGTTTGTCCTGGGGTGATCATTATGTAGGAGGTAACTATAGGTTTGACATAGGCACCATCCGCTCCTACAACTGTGAGATTGTGATCGGCAATGGCAAAGAACATGTCTACATTTTGTACCGAATTCACTATTCGGAGAAGATAGGTCTTCCCATAATCAACGAACATTCGATATGTTGTTTCTGCAATGCACATGAAGTCATGTGTTTTATAATAAAATCCCCAATTTGCATGGCAAGACAAGGAAAAACAGGAGCATGATAATTATTACAAATTGTCTATTTATCGTTTAATAAATTTTTACCGTTGGAGCATAAATAAAAGTCTCCAGGTTCGCCGTTGATGGTATAAGAATCTGACGATGTTGTTAGTCCGCCAGATTCGAGAGTCTCATCCAACAATGTCATTACATCCTCTTTATACCATGATGCTGCAGGAGAACAATAGGAGGGGTAAAAAGCTAAGCAAGACGCACAAGTGTTTTTTTTATAATAAAAAAATGTTATGGGAAGATGCACATAAAGTAACCACTTTGGTATCCTACAAGAACAAACTAGATGCACACAGAGCTTAAAAGAAAAGTAAATTCGACTTGATCGGGTGTGTATTATTTTTTATGGAAAGCAAAACTTTGAAAGACCAACCAGTCATGTATTTTGCATTTAGCCAGTGTCCTTATTCTAGTAGCCCATGGAAGATTGACTTTCTGTTGAGGGTCCAAAATTTAGTATGAAAATTGGGACCCACCAAATATTTGGATAAATTACTATTAATTTGCTAAACCAAATCTTTTTGTAATAAGGTTCAAATTAAACAAGATAATAATATTATGAGCTTAAAATTGCATGGAAGAGTTGCAGCTAATAAAACATTTTGCATACCAAATAAAATAACTTGTTCTCCATCTGGCTTTGGAAATGGATAACTGGTACCATTTGCTGGCAAGATGACAAAGGCTCCATGCACTGTAGCCCTACTCCAATCGCTGTGGGCATGCCAAAACAATGTACCTTCTTCTGAAGAAAGTAAAATTTGGTAGGTGAAGTTTGTTCCTGGCTGAATAGGGCATTGTGTAACATACTCAGGTCCATCGAACCACGGGTTTCTTGGTTGCTTTATCCCATGCCTATAAAAATAGCATGCATAAATTAAAAACAAAATTTACATTTTTCCCTCTCTGTGCTAAAAGTATTTAATTCCATACTTCTTACCAGTGTAGAGTGACACCATATCGTCCCTTCATTGTAAACATTCACGTACACTGTATCCCCCTTCTGAGCTCGGATGATTGGCCCCGGAAAACTCTCATTCACAGTCAATGCACTCTTCGTGCTACATAACTTTGTGAAATTGGTGTCTTTAAGCTGCAATCAAGATATAAACACAAAAGTAAATCTATGAACATTTTTTTTTTCACTCAACAACTATATCATGCATGAGATTTTAAATGCTGACATTCTGCAATAAACGGAGCTAAGCCAGGATTCTATGCGTTACACAAAGCAAGTCAAATTAAAATCACAAAAGAAGGTGAAACCCAAGCAATGAGTGCTACTTACAATGAATTCATGGCAATGCACATTTCCTTGGACCAAGCATAGAAGCACTTCAGTCTGTAAGAGAAAAATAGACATAAATGCTAAGAAGCTCATTGTTTTGAAGCACTTCATTTTGAGAGTACTCTCTCTGCTCTCCCAAATGTGTCAGTGCTTGCGTCTTAATGCCTTGGATCGTCGGGTGGGGGTTCTTATACTGTAAAATATGGCTACAGTGACTTCCTTGGACACAAGGCAACTTACTCACATGGAAACTTTAGGTGGATTTTTAATTTGTTATTTTTTTTATAACAATTTGTGGTCCCGACTATGCCGAATACTTCATAATATTGACTCAGTATTATAAGAAGAGCATTGTAGTAAACCAACAATATTGTTACATTATTATTATTATTATTTTTAGGACCTTTCCTATTGAGGATGGTGATAGCATACTAAATTCATACACAGTACACGGATGCTACGACTCGAACTTAGAACATTTCCTAAAGAAACATTTACTCCGAACAACTACACGGGTTATTCGTTGTTATATATTTTTTTATTAATGTATTGATTTGGGAAAAAAAAAATTACTCAATATATTAAATTTTGAATTTTTATTATTATTTTAGGGAATGTTTACGAAGATAGCTTTTGGTATTTCTGCATATCATAACCCTTATCTTTTCTTTTCATTTTCACTTTCCTTATATTGCAATTTTGGTATCTTCCTTTTAACCCGCCTTTTTGACCGCCGGAATGGTGGTTGTGAGAGATTTGCACTGAGTTGATAAAAAAGAAAATGCCAGCAAAGTATATAAATAAAAGTTGAAAAGCAGGCACCCCAAAAACAACCTATAAAAAATTAAAAACTTGAAAAAGAATAAAATTTTGAGTGGTTGCTTTCGGCGGATCTTCTTGCCATCAAATACTAGGACCGTACGTTGACAAAAGAAATTGAGCCCAATTTGTCTTTTGATTTTTGCACTTGAACAAATCTTCACAAACCCAAAAACAAAATTTACATATATACACATGGTACTAAAAAGCCCAATAGAATCTGGCCGAAAACAAAAACCCCAATCCGATTGATTGAACTAAAAATAATGCAACGAAACTTAAGCAATCACAGTTGGGATTCGAAAATCAACTGGAAATCATACCAGCCCAAAGAAGAAGGCAGAAAAATAAACACAAGATTTCTCAAGAGTTGCCGACTGGAAATCAGGAAGTGAAAGCAAGAGAATTGTTGAGAAACTTGAGACCAAGTTGATCAAGCTGAAGTCTATTTTTTGAGAGACTAATTGTGTGTATTTCCCAAATATATTTAAAATAGGATAATGAGTTATTTAATATGCATTTTTCAAATACAAAGAAGCAGAAGAAAAATTAAATTCTAGAAACTCATACAAATCATATTAGTCCTAAATTTTGCGAAAAATTGCACCTTTGACGCTCTACGTAACTTTTAAAGAGAATATTTTGGAGCGAATCATGAATCCTAATAAGGTATTCAAGTAGTGTGCTTGGTCTCTCTCTTCTTGATTCTCCACTATGGCTTCTACAATAGGTACAATAGTGTGCACCTTCCCAAAGCTCTTCACCAAGGATGGATAGATGACAGAATAAGAACTTGGGAGAGAAGAGTGTGTTAGCTCTCACTCTTCCAAGTGGCGGGGCAAAGTGATTGGGAGAGAGAGCTTATGTTTTCTCTCTTCCAATTTTCCAACTTGAAACCCTAAAATGAAATGGTGCCATAGCTTTTATTTTATAAACCCATATATGTGACTCATGTGGACTTACTTCCACATATGTGCTGCACCGTATCTTGGTGGCCTAATTTTGGGCCACTTGGTCCTTCACATTTATTCTTTAATGTGTTACATGTGTCTAAAGTTCTATGTTCCAATTCTTTATTCCTTAAGTCATGTGGGACCCAATTAATTTTCATTTGTTTATTTAATTGATATTTGATATTGATTTTTTTATTTAATTGATAAACTATAGTCAATTTTTCATAGTTATAGATATGAAACCCGTATTTTGTTTTAATTATATAGTTATGGAACTGTACTTTCAAATAATCTGGATAGTTCTAACCCTCCAAATAATCCAGCTAATTCAAATCCTCCTTCAACTAATTATAATTATATTTAGTTATCTATATTTTTATTTTTTAAGGTTTTAACATTTTAAAATTGCACCTCCGAAAATTTTCCAGCTCCTCCAGAGAATGGAAGTAGATATTAATATTTATTAAATTAGGCTGGAACTGCGGGAAATGAATACCCGTTTACTGCTGCTTGAGACCCATATGTATTTCCGTTTCAAGATTTTTAAGCTGGGCTTGGGCTCATTTGAACTGTACATTGAGATGCTTGTTTTCATTTGGGATGGACTTAGTTTAGAAAATTGTTTCTTAAATTGGACTTACTTTTTTTATAAGCGAATTGGACTTGAAATTTGAGTCGAATGAAACAATAATTTTTCTAACTTGAACTTTGGGCTGGAGTAAAGTTGACAAAAATCTGTCATAACGAAAATAATTTATTATTCACTCAAGAAAGATAATCTAACATAAAAAGTACTTGGATGTTACAATTATTCTCACAAATCATATAAACATTTAAAATAAATTGAGATCGATGGAAGAAAAAGAAAGTAAATTTCTAAATCTAAGACTTGGAACAAGGAGGCATATAAGCAGGTGGTGGGCGAATCTTGCTTTCAGTAGTGTTTCCATTCCTCACAATGAGCACAGTGTCCATTCCCCAGCTGGAATGCCTTTCCAAATGACAGTGCATAAACCATACTCCTGAAAATCATTATCAAATAATTTCTTTAATTAATTTGCCTTTAAATCAAGCAAGTGACATGATGTGCATCTTATTAAGACTTACCAGGATTGTCAGCTACAAATCTGATGGCAGTCCATCCATTCTTTGGAACTCCAATAGTGTTTACTTCTGGTGGATCAACCAAATTGTAGGTCTTAGGCGACGTCGTACTGTTGAAGTTCCCATAACCAGTTCCAACCACATAGAAGCTGAAACCATGGAGATGCATTGGATGGTTCTCAGGTGCAATGATGTTGGTCCCTTGGAAGACTATCTCAACTCCTGCACCATATTTGATCATCCTCACTCTCGTCCCAAAGTTCGGGTATAGTGTGTTGTTACCAACGTCTCCGGTGAAGTTGAAATAATAAGGTGGCTTATTCGGGAAACTAGTACTATAAACTCCGTTGTTATTTCCCCTGTAAAGTAGGCAATTAGGTCATATTAACTCTGTCTACTTTGTAGATCATTCTTGCAAAAAATTAAACTCTTCATCGAGCGAAATCTAAATGTAAGCATTGACAGAGAAATATGATACGTACCGATAGTATGCTTGCAATATGTCAGTAGATGGGAGCTCGAAACTGATGTTGTTTAAACTTGCAGAAATCGCGTTGTTATGTGGGCCACTACAATTAGAGTTGGGACAAATTCTTTCATTTATGGCAATAGAGATAACGATCTTTGAATGGATTTCTAATGGGACACTAATAGGGTGTTCTTTGCTTGCCAATGCCCTTATTTGGCTAGTGAAGTTGTCAGCAGCCGTTTGGTTATCGTAATCGGGAAGAGTCGGGAAGGGAGTGGTGGACGGGGCGCTGTAGTTGCCGTTGTATTGAACAATGGCAGTGGTGGTGCTGTTGTTGAATGGAACGGAACCGTCAACAAAAGCCTTAGAAGCAATGTAATAGTGGCTGGGAGGCTGGTTTGCAGTGACCAAAATGTCCATGGTTTGGCCTGGAGTTATCATGATGTAGGAGGTGGTTATAGGTTTTATGTAGGCAGCATCTTGAGCTACCACTGTGAGGGTGTGGTTGGCGAGGGCAAAGAATTGTTCTTCGTTCATCACGGCATTGATGACTCGGAGAAGATAGGTCTTTCCATAATCAACCAACAAACGATATGTTGTTTCTGCAACATTAAAAATAAATAATTTTTAGAACATATCAAATATTTATGTAAAAATAAAATAGTTATTACCAGGGGCCAAGCAGCAAAAGCTAGGTTTGAAGTCTCCTTAGCCCCTTAACCCGTTTTAGAACGGCCTCCAGCACATGGAAAACTTCATAAGCTCCGTTTATTTTCTCATTTAAAATGGTAAATGCATTATGTTTTTATACAAGCAATATTACACTAATTCGAACTCATGTGCAGAATGGGGAGCACATTCGCTCTAGCCAACTTGTTCAACCCCATGTCTGCAGACATTTACAATTACAATAATGTTATTTATACGACATTTATTGATCACTTTGCTGACTCACTTTTATTAACGAGATAGTCAACAATATGTTCAATTAATGTGATACAAATAGTAGTGTGAAATAATTTATTTTTCTGGTGAAATAATAATACGTCCCTTTAATTGGTAAAACAATTGTTGTTGTACATGGACTAATAATTCCATGTAAACAAACCATATACCGAGCATGGCTTGGTCATGAATACCGATATACAACAAACCAACATGATTTGAATAGTAATTTTCATTTATATAAGTGAAATTTGAATAGTGATTTTCAATCCCTTTCTTCCAATTTTATATATTTTTCTATTACTACGTTTTGCTAACTCAGAAAAGCTATAAATCTTCCGTTTGCATGTTATTATATTCCGTAGACACCTAAAAGTCTTCTTCATCAAAGCGTAGTGTTATTATGTAAAATCCAGTTATTATATAAACACCCCTTTGCTTCTTTTCTAACTTATGCATAAATAATGCAGAGAACCCATACCATACTAGTGTAGTGATATATAATATTTATTCCTTCATGGGTTCGAGTCCTAGCATTAGTGTAGTGTGTGTGTGTTTAGTATACTATCGTCCTTCTAAATAGGAAATGTCTTAAAATCAAATTACTTATATATAAATAATTAACAACAATATTAAAGTATATTAAGTTTGGATCTTTGATTATAATTACCATTAGAGCAATCATACAAATCTCCGGGCTGGCCATTGATTAGGAAGGCATCTGAAATGTTTGGATCGCCACCTGATGCGAGGGCCTCTTCAATTATTTCCATCACATCTCCCTTGAACCAGGAGGCTGCAAGCAACCCACATATGAAATATATATAATTATTACAATTTAATAATCTGTGTTCTCCAGCATAAATCCAAGTGTCTTTTTTGTCTCATAATTATTTTTATGGTTTTTGCATGTTTAAAAATACATCCCCTTTTGTCTTTATACTTCCCAATATACATACAAATTACGTACGTTGGATTCAAACTTGAAAACAAAATTAGAAGTATCAGATTCTTGTATTCAGTACATCTAACCTTACACCAAAATTTTGTTTTCGAATTCGGATTGCCGGCAATGACAACGCAAGAAAATAAATACAAATAATAATGACTTTTGGATGTTATTAATTATAAATTATTTCACTTATGAACGGTGTTCTACTAACATAACATTTCACGAAATGATGAATATATAATATTAAAAAATTAAGAGTATATATTTAGAATGTTCTATACGTTAAGCGCAACATCATAGGAAAATACAACAAATTCTTGTATTCTACGTTCACATGCTAAACAGTAGACCCATAATTAAATTCCAAATCCTGATTATGTCATCTTAATTTTTTCTTCTTTTAATAAGAGAGAGGCACCATCATTCCATCCGATAATATATAAATAACGTGGAGGTTAGAATATAAATTAGGTCTAGTCTTTTTATATTCATTAATAGTATTAAAAGAGGCGATGATAGAGAGGACTTGAAATTAATAGTAATTAATTTAAATAAAAAAAAGATATAAATTATATGTGAATAATAAAGTACCTAGAATAAGTGTTTCTTGTGCATCTGGTGTTGCAAATGGATAAGTCGTGTTGAGCGCTGGTAGAATAACGATGGCACCATAGACGGTGGCACGTGTCCATCACTGTGAGCATGCCACCATAAAGTTCCTTCTTCACTGGAGAAGATAACTTCGTATGTAAAGTTTGTTCCTGCTGCAATAGGGCACGAGTTACGTTCTCAGGTCCATCTGACCATGGATTTCTTGGTTGCTTCACTCCATGCCTGCAAATAATTAAACAAAGGGTCAGTATGTGTGTTTTTCCCATAGTTAGGGATGGGGAAGAGGTCTTTTTTTACACACACTATCGTGGGTATTCAAACTTAAAACCAATCATAACCCTTTTTTATCGGATAAACCCATTGGCAAAGATGATTTTTTTCTTTTCTTTTCATGTTGTACTTTTTCAAGCCGCCAAAATAAAATGGAAGGTTCTATTTTTGTGTATTGAAAAAAAAAAAACAAAAAAAAAAAAAACGAAAGCGGGAAGTGTTCCATTGAGGATGCCCACAACTTTCCCTCCTCCCCATCTCTTTGTTTTTTTCGACAGAAATTATTCACACTTTCACTTTCTCATCACCTCTTTTTTTTCGTCAGATGTGTTCACATCTTCACTTTGTTATCATCATGCATTTTAAATATAATATTTTATCCTTTTAAACCCTTGGAGAAGAAATACTCCATGAAAACATGATCTCTCTCTCTCTCTCTCTCTCTCTCTCTCTCAGATAGGAAAATGAAGGATATTGTAAGCGGAAAGGCTCTTTTCAATCCACCCAAACGCACGTACTAGGACCTAGCTATCAACCATCCATACTTTTTCCACCAAGCTTATAATTTTTTTTGGGTAAGTATCTACGAAGCTTATGTTGAAACCGCACGTACTTATCTATCCATGACAACGAGTCTTGGACTCTTGGTCAATGTGAAAAAAAAAAACACACGCAGATCTAGCTATAGGCCAATGGGATTTACCAATGAATTGTGAGACCATATAATCCCTGGTTGTGGACATTGACAAAAGCAGTGTCTCCTTTCCGAACAGTGATCGTCGGCCCCGGCAAACTGCCATTCACAGTTAAGATGCTCTTTGTGCTGCAAAGCCTTGTAAAATTTGTTTCTTTCAGCTGCAAAATATCACAAAACAAACCCCAACATTTTATTACACAACTCTAGTGAAACACCCACAAAGAAAAGCAACGATATGGTATTAGTGTAATGTAGCAAGCACTTACAACAAAATCATAATGATGAACAGCACCATTGGCGTTGGAAAGCCCACCCAAGAACATAAACCCTAAAAAAGCCAAGACCCAACTCATTTTGTTATAGAACCCCATTTTCCTTGAGTGTTCTTCAGGTTGCCCTCGAGAGCTTGTGTGGTTTTGTTCTCTGCTCGAGAGCTGTATATATAGAAGACGACTTCATAGCAAGTTGGGTTTGATTAGTAGATACGTTTCCCAGCTCCCACTTGATTGAACATTTCAAATTATCGTACCTAACGAAAAAAAGTTTAAAAACTAAGTACATATCGCTAAGGCACCGAAGTAAACATGCGGTATTAGTTTTCTGCACTTTGCTTTGTTGGTCAGAATTTTTGATACTAGTATATATTTCTTATGAACCTTACCGATATGACATACTGACAAGGCTAAGAAATCGGTATGCCCAACTCTAATATTCCACCAACAAATTAATGTCAGAATATTTGTTTCCTTTCTTTGTATTTTATATATATATATATATATATATAATATTGTTTGAATCCTTGTAAACAATAAGTTTTGCTAACGGTGCACAAGTGGTGTTTTACTCTTTATTTATGGATTTTCAGTTGAATTATATATATATATATATATATATATAACATCTAATTGTGTCCTACAAAATCATGAACATGGTGCTTCAAGAAAGTACTAAAATTTCAATAATTTAATTGAGTAGTCAAATGATATCGGATTCAAGGTATTTTTTGCAGAGATGATTTTCGAATAATATCTACAAAATAGATGGTTTGGATTAATGAAATACAATGTATGGTGGGCTCCACAAGGATGTCCCTCAAATAAGTTTATTTAAGGGATCCCTCAATCGAAGCTTACTGTCAACGTCAAATAAGCATATTTAGGGATCCCTTCAATTGAGTTGTCAAATAATATCGGATTCAAGTGATTTTTTTGTAGAGATGATCTTTGCATGAGTACCTACAAAAAATTACAATACGAAGTCGGCCCCTACAATACAAGGGTGTCCCTTAAATAAGTTTATTTGAGGGATCTCTCAACTAAAGCTCCATATATATATATATATATATATGAAGGCAGATCCGTGGCACTATGTTTTTAACACAAGTTTTGACACAATTTTATAACCTTTGGATGCAAGCACTTTCAATGGTTAAGATTACATGTGATTTCACTATTTAATTTACAAATTAATAAATAATAAAATATTAAACTCCCCACTTTTCTATATATATATATATATATTTGGTCAAACTCCCACTTTTCTAGGTAATTTTAATGTGCCAATAAAAATCACTCTCTCCTCAATAAAATTTGCAATAAACAACAATTAATCTCATTATTCTCAGAAACAATCCAACTTAATTCAACCAAAAAAACAAGAACAAAAAAGAAAACTTAGATCTATCTATCACATGGAAAGTCTTGGAGCACTGATGGTGGGTTTATAAGCTTTGTCATGTTTATGTTCTCAATTGCTTGAGAACGAGCAATATAAAGTCTAAAGACATATGCTTTGTATTGGCGATGGATGGGTGTATGCGGTTCCCTTTTTCTTCAGCTTTTTCCTTCGATTCCTTTGGTTGGGGCTCTAATATTTTATTCAATTATTTTCAGTTTGGACTGGTTTTAAAAAAAATTAATCATCTTAATTTGTTTTGGTTGTGCTATGATTTCCTCTTTATGTTGTATCTATTCACCAAAATCTCATTCCCAATCGCAGTGATCTCTAATGGGAAACCTATAATATAAGATTCACAGATTAAAAAGATTCATATAGCATTGTAGTTTTGTAAAAGTGGGCTTCTCTTAATAATTTCTCTAAGAAAAATTATATGAACCATAAAAACCTTCATGAACACTCTTCCTTATCAAAACGTTGTCCTACCTTCTTTATGTTTCAAGTTTGATTATTTTTTGGTGGATGGTTTCAAGTTTGGGTTGCATATGAAAGAGGAGGATAAGGAGAATGGGGAAAGGAAAAACTTTCCCCGTAAAGGCACAGTGGGAAATAAATGATTTTTCATCTCACAATTGCAATTTTCTTATAGGAGAATGTGAAAATATAAATGCAGAGAGAGAAAATAGAATGGTGAATTTAATTAAAATTAATTTCAGTTTATAGTAATTTAAAAAAGAAAGAATAAGTTTAAATTTAATCTCATCCATTGATAGTGGATTAATCTAAAGGTGTGAAATTTTGTGTCAAAATTGTGTCAAAAACATAGTGCCACAGATCCGCCCTCTATATATATATATATATATATGTATATACAGTCTCCTTCTATTGAGGGATCTCTCAAATAATTTATTTGAGGGATGCCCTTTAGGGTACCCTTATAATTTTTTTTTCCAATGATCCAAACCATTTATTTTTTAGGTCTTCATTCATAGATCATCCTTACAAAAAATTAGACAAATCGGAAACCATTTCAACATCCAATTGTGTCCTACAAAGTCAATGAACACGGTGCTTCAAGAAAGTACTAAAATTTCAATAACTCAATTGAATGGTCAAATGATATTAGATTCAAGTGATTTTTTGTAGAGATGATCTTTGAATGTGTATTTACAAAATAGACGGTTTGAATTAGTGAAATACAATCCGGAGTGGGCCCTACAAAAGGTGTCCCTCAAATAAGGGATCCCTCAATGAAAGCTCTCTATCTATATATATATATATATATGTATATATATTGTAGATAACAGAGATATATATATATATATATATATATGTGTGTGTATTCTTTTTCTATGAGAACGTGACTGTAGATCAATACTAAAAGTCAGTACTAATAACCTGCTCCTTGGCTGCAGGGCTGAATCCAAAAAAGCATTCTTTCACAGATTTTACCTGCTCCAAGTTCTTCAATACATTAATGACATAACAGAATAAAGATAAGCCGGTTTTCTGTAATGACATGTTACATGACAACCAGTATAAATATTATCAAAAGACCTTCTGCCTAAGATTAAATTACAAAAGTTAGACGGCTGTATAGTTCCAGCTGAACTTATAATATAATGGACCGACAACCGACGGTCTGGAAAAAAAATCCATTTTTGTGATTCCATTTGAAACCAAAAAACTCATGAAGTCAACACAGGCATATGAAGTTAAATAGTACTATTTAACTTTCGTTCATGTGAACGTATGTTTATTGGTCCTGCATTTTAAAAGTTAAAAATATCAACTCTATCTTCCACTCATATCATAACACGTAAATGGTCTATTTCACGTAATCGTATTCCGATATATATCTCGGTGTTAGAATGACTGGATTTCAGATGTTGTAATGTGTGCACTAATTGGATTGAATTGAATTTGACAGCTAGGATCCGTCGACTGGATTGGAAGCTTTGAAATATTCCATGCTTGGTTATAGGGCAAAGCACTAGCAGCCACCGCTCGGCCAATTTTTCTTGCCCAATTGCAATCTGGGTCTGCCAAATGGAGTGCACGCATTAATAAATCATGATGGAACAATATCTTTACATTCTTCATTGCCATCTGTTTTTCAAGTTGACTACGGTAATCACATGTTGACACGTCACCGTTCAAATAAAATTCGAATATTTAATATATATATATATTTTAAAGCCTCCTTCACAATGGATTGAATTGAACTATGTAGGAGATTTTGTTATGCGAGCACAAAGAGGCGTGTGGGCCTTTCAACTTTTGACAAACGTCAAATTGCTTCGTGGCTTAGTTAAAGCCGGAGTTTGCCATCCAAGTACATTTGCCATAATAACAGATTTTGATGTGCTAATGGTTCCACTACTATTCTGGCTAGCTTGCGTATGATTCTTTGCTACTTCTAAGTTTACTCTGTCTGGGTTCTACTAAGAAAAAAGGTGGATTCTATACCATACGAGGGACAGAATTAGTGCAAGTACTCCTATAATTTGGTACGTAATCACTAGACATGTTGTGCAACATTTTTTCTGACATGTGAGTGATCAGCTAGACCAATATGCTGTAGGGATAGAGGATATATACATTGGATTGGTTTGAGTTGCACCTGCTTGTTTGCAGTACGCTTTTTTTAGGGTTTATTTGTTTGGAGTCCGGCTTTAAGCGCTAGAGAGATCCCTGAAATAACTTTATTTAAAGGAAATCTTTATTGAGTCCATTCCGCATTCAATGATTCAAAGATCCTCTCTACAAAGAATCACTTGTATTCGAAACCATTTGATCACTAAATTAAATTGTTGTTATTTTAGTATTCTTTTTTTAACAGTTTTCAATTTGCCTATTTAATTATTGAGAAGGATAATCTTTGAATGAATGATTAAAATTAGACGGTTCGAATTGTGGAAGTAAAATTCGTAGGAGATCTCACAAAATGTCCCTCAAATAAAGATTATTCAAGGTATCTAACAAAAAGAAGAGACTGAATGTATACATATTTAAATTAGTCCATTACCATCGACAGTTTCCTAGAAAGAAAAAAAAAAACCATGTGTAATGTATTAGATATAATCCACTTGTAATATTCAATGTTGAACAGTGTATTCTGTTTGCGATATCGCAAAACTGCAAGAGTACAAGTTTCTTTTTGTCTTCTCCAAGTTATATATGGGCAAATTAAGCATGTGTTATATATGCACTTATATTTGTATGTATAGTAGTAGTAAAGAGTACGTAGTTTTCTTTTCTTTTTTTAATCAAAAGTGCAGTCGTATAGCGACTGGGACTTTGACTCAAATAATAAGGCGCACATGCAACTGGTGGATAATTAGTCATGTATATATGGGTTTTCTGATCAAAGTGACGTAACAATTAATCATTAACAATTGTATACATCTAAACCCTAGTTATAGTAGCTAGCATGCAGTATTGTAAGCATTGGGATAGATTTCCTGTTTTTATATATAAAATCTGTTCATTAGTTGTATTAATGCTATAAATTCTTGTTTTGTACCATTTGTCATATGGACCCCTAAGCTGTACATTTTCATAATTGAGAGCTCTAGATGCCATTTATGTCAAAATAGACACACTAGTTCTACTGTTAGGTTACGCTTAGTTTGTTTGTTTTTAGCTTCGTTTCACAACTTTGTAATTACGATAC